CTGCCCATTAGCCAGGCCTCTGCCTGACGCGTCCTGCTGTGCTCCTTTCTCGCTGTGCTTCCATCTTCGGCAGAGCCAGAGTTCCACCCCCCTCAAACATGTGGCCTTCTGTCCTCAGGGGGGACGTGTGGCTGTGCCTCACTCTCCTGGGGATGTCACTGTGCTGCCCGGCGTCTAGGAGCGGATGTACCTCCCTCTTTCCGTTTGCTGGCCGAATCTAGATGACCAAGTTGAGGGGCTTCCAACCTGAGGGCAGCGCTGTGGGGCCTGGGATGCCAGTGGTGGTTCTGACTTCCAGGTGACATTTGCCAGTGTCTGGAGACATTTCCAAATCACAGCGGAGAGGGGCACCCAGAATCTGGTAGCAGGGACCAGGAATGCGGCTAAACAGCTTATAAGCACAGGGCAGCCCTTTGTCAAAGAGCCATCCAGGCCAAATGCCAATAGTGTGCAAACAAGAGGTCCCCGTCCTGGGGAATGTGGAGCCACTAGGTGGAAGGAGCCTTGTTGTCCTCAAGGAGCACCCCAAACCCGACAGTTGACCGTATATCAATCTGGGAAAGGAGCAAGAAGTAACTCCTTTGTGGATGAGAATGCTGGGATGCACGGACTGTTTGTGCAGTCAGCTTGCCCTGGCTGGCCGTCTAGGGCTCCACATGAAACTGAGTTCCACTAAGGCTGTGGGGGGCTGTGGTGCAGAGCCCCCAGGCCGGCTTTGCTGGAATGGCCCATCTGGCTCAGGGTTTGAAGTGAACTGAGTATTGCTATGGAAATGGTGTCTTTCCCTGGGAAGCAACCCACACTGGCCGTGTCCACCACTCCCTGGCACAGGGCAGTAGCTCCTCTGGAGTTGGTTCCCACTGTGAGTGTCCTGGAAGTGCACTTCCCAGGCACACAAAGAGGCAGAAAAGACTGGTCTCACTCATGTGGAGAGGCTTCCGTAGGGACTAGCCTCACAGTCCACCTGCATCTCAGTTTGAGGGAAGGCACGTCCTTCTGCGGGTTCGGACTTACAATGCTCATTTTGGATTTATAGAAATCAGTGACACTGCAAAAGAAACCCCCTGAATCAAGCTCCTAAAGCCCAGGAGATAAGGGTGAAAATCCTGCTGCAGTGGGATTTAATCCGATGGTTGTGTAACCCACACTTGCTCTTCTATAGGAAGAAGGTGGGGCTGAGTGGGCAGGTGACTTGCCCAAGACCCTCAACCTGCAGGACAGGTAGAGCTCCACACGGCTTAACAGCTTTTGCTGCCTGAAGCATCCTAGTGGCTTCTAGAAGGTGTCTCCCCGGTGTCACACTGGTGTCACTTTGCTGCTCCGCTAGGCTATTAGGAGGTGAGCTCTGCCGTGCCACATTGATCTCTCCGTTTTAGATGTGTAATTAGCTGTTAGTATTTCATTATAACCAAGCTTTTCTTGGGTTCTCTATGACCTTGGCTCATCAAGTTCCTGGACCTCTGGATGCTGTGAGTTAATTAATGTTGCTGTTGGATGTGCACAGAGCCCAGAGTCCTGGTAGAAGTCACTGTTTGGAGATTACATTAGTTTTCATATTAAGTAAGCTTTCCCAGAATACCTACCAAGAACCAGCTTCAAGCCACCCTCTCTTGTCCCAGCAGAGAGGTACTAGGCTTGCAAACAAATGTTAAAAGAAGGGTGATATTTAGTAATATGTAAATGAAACCATCGAGTGTCATTCTTGTTGAAGGACAAAGACATGATTAGTCAAAAGAGGGAAACATCGTGATGCATTGCTGTTGAAATGCGGGATTTAGTCGTGATACCTTCTTGATGGCTCGCCTGGGGCACCCTGGGCCTCCTCCCCAAGGCAGGTCCCACTGTCAGCTCATGACCTTGTTGAGCAGATGACAATGAGGTGCGTGCAGAGGAGATGAGCCACGTGTGCAATTATGAAGAGCATATCATACCGTGTCCGTGGAATGCCAAGAGGAAAGACCAAGGAGGGTGCAGGGAGAGCCCTTCCGGGACCCCCGCACTGTGGGCAGGTGAGACTTCTGCACACTCACCACGATGTGTTCAGCTGTCACCATTTGTAACACATTGCTCACTGGTTGGCTGCACGAGCTCTGCGTCCATGCTGCCTATTTTAAATGGTCTTTTTTTTCCTATTTATACCTCCTGATGCAACAAACTTAAACTCAGATTGTTTCTCCCATCGAAGGAAGGAGCTGGCCCATCCAGAATACACATCAGCCCAACTCATCGTGACTCTGTAGGGACAAACAAGGCAGGCAAGACCTATCAGTTGGCTGCATTCCTCAATGTCATTGTTGATTGGTGTCTTCATTTAAAATGAGGGTGACTTTCTGCAAATTCTGAGAAACCGGGAAAGAGACCAACTGTCATGGGAGGGCATGTTCAAGCCTTGTAAAAAATGTGGAAGTAGAAGGCAGGGCAAGAAGTTGTATCCAAGTGAGTATGTTTGTGTTTGATTGACAAATCAGTGCGTGTTTATAGAGTGGGAAAGGATTGATTAAGAAAAAAAAAAACATATCGGTTCCTGCCAACTTTGAAACTGATCTAGAAACTAGAAAAACAAAGTATTTAAGCTCCATGCACCAACGATGGCTTGATGGCTCCATTTCTGTTGTCTGGTGGCTGACAGTTTGCTAAAGCTCTTGTTTTATTTTATTTCCCAGCTCTACTTTCCTTGCCTCCAGCCCTTCTTCGCTTCCGGAGAACATTCTATGGTCCTCTCTCCCTTCTTCCCACTCCTGCGTCCATTCCACACCACTGTCCCTCTGTGGACTCCAGGTTTCATGTGGAAGATTGAGAATAGCCCAGAACCTCTGCCTTGGGAATCAGAAACATTTATGCTGAATTCCTGTTTTACCGCTTAGTGGCCATATGTTCAAGCTATTTAACTTTTCTGAGTTGTTTTCTCATCTGCAAAGTACGGATAATAATAGTTACCTACTTCCTAGGCTTTTTGCGTGAATCAAAATAAACAATGTATGCAAAACTGCCTAGCAACAGGCCCAGCACAAAGCAAGTATTCGACCAACAATAATTGCTTGTGGGCTGTGCTTAGGAGGCACAACATCATGTGGGAGTGTGTGGGGGAGTTGTTCAACTCATGGTGTCCCAGAGTCAGAGAAAGAGGAAGAGACCAGGGTCCCAGTTCCCACCTCAAGGACATGCCCCAGCAATCTAACTTCCTCCCAGTCTGTTCCATCTTTGAATAGTCCTCCTGCCTCCCAGGAGCATCACAGCGACCAAGGCTTTGCAGGGAGCAGGTTTTCCGAAACTCACAGAATCTCACAGAACCATCTGCTTCCTCTTTTTCTTACCTATTTCCCAGACTGCGGCCAAGCCATTTTTAATAATGTGCCTTTATCAGATCATATGACTCCTTGCCTAAAACCTCCACTGCAACCCACAGGAAGTCCTTACTCCTCCCCCAAGCCTTAGAGGCCTGTCTCCTGTCCATCTCAGCCACCCACTTCCTACCTCTCCCTTGGGTTCTTTGTGGCCTGGCCACTTGGCCACAGGCGGTCGCCCAGATGTGTGTTCCTACCACATTGACTTTGCTTTTGTCCTGCCTTACATCACCCTGTTCCAGGTCATCCATTCATTCAAATGTCACCCTTTCTGGGGGGTAAACCGACTGCCTAGTTAAACAATGGATCCCACAGTGTGAAGCCACTGATACGTGGCCATCCTTGACCAAACATGACCTGCAAATGTGCTGTGTACGCCCCACGCCCTCTCCATCTCTATTGCTCCATTCTACACATAATCTTTAGTGCTAGATGTCGACCCGTTTCACTTGGGAGAACACACATTGCTGAGAACATCAGTATTCAAAGGGTAGGACGCAAGCTTCGAGAAGGCAGGTGCTCAGCCTTTCATCTTTATTTTTCTTTACAACCCCGGCACCTACAGGTTCTCTGCAGACATTTGTCTGATGTATGAGTAAGAAAATAACCCTGGGCTGGGTTTGCCATCTGCTGGGTGTTTCATTAATGAATTCTTTTATTCTTGTTTGCCAGTGCTCTCTCTGTGCACACAGGCGTGCATGGAAGTTGGAAATGACCCACAGACTCTGCCTCAGAACAACTCTCATACACGAGTGTTTCAGCATCCTGTTGGGGAGGACCCCGAGGCGCTCAGGCCCAGCAGGAAGCGCGTCCCGATGGAGAGGCAGCGACTCCCCGCGCTCTGAAAATTTGATCACACGTAGGAAGCTTTGTCAGAGATGGGGACCGAGTCTCAGTTTCCCTTCCATTTCCAAATTCAAGTACCGTCTTACACATAGATTTCAAAGGCTTTTATCGGTATGTGTTCTACGTAGCTTACTTGAACATTTCCAGTCATACTTTTGTGCTTGTTGATTTTCCAGTTTAGATAAAGAGCACAAAATGAGTACATCTCCAGATACTTTTTTTCTATGACTAAAATTTACTCAATTAGATATTTAATGCAAGACTGCTTTATATTATTAAGATGGGCCAGATAGGACATTGGGGGACATTTTTAAAAATTAGTAATATTCTTTAGGCAGTCATGGTTGCTTAATAGGCTCTTGAAACTACACCTAAACTTCCCAGAGTAAGAAGTGACTTCTGGTAAGACGGGAGAAGTATATTGTCACACACTACCCGCAGCCTGGTTGTGGTTTTCAACTGGCATCACTATGGAAAAATGGTGCAAAAGATATGGAGCAAAACACGGATTCCCTGACTGGATCTGTTTGAGTCAGAGTCCCAGGGACGCCCAGGGAAGTACCTAGGGCTGGCTCACTTTCCCCTTCATCCTGATGGCCATACTAGCTGGGTTCAGGGAGGTAGTCAGCCAGGAGTGCCGTGGAAACATCGCTCGGAATCCTGACCTACGAAGCCATAGCCCCAGTGAGTCGACCCCTCAGTTTTCCTCAGGGTTCCTGTCCGGATTCCGCATTCTGGATTCCGCGTCAACTCCGGCTCAGTACTTCCCCATGGGAACCTGTTTCCCAGGGAGTCCGGCGCCACCGCGTCCACAGCAGTCCCTCACACCCCCCTGAGATGCGCCCCTGCCTGGGCGTCCAGTGTGGTTGTTTCGGGAAACATGGTTTCTGCCTCAGGTTACGCGCTCTGGGAGGCTCATTAGCTTACAAACCTTCTTGGCTAACAGTCATCTTGGGGCTGTTGAGAGAGCATCCACTTCATTTCTGTGTATTTTAAACTACAGGTTGAGTTCCCCTTACCCAAACTCTTTGGGAGTGAAATCGTTTTGGATGTCCGGTTTTCTCCATCTTTGGAATATCTGCACATTTATAACGACGTACGGTGGGGACGGAACTCGAGAGACACGCGATTCTTGCTTCGTGTACAGCTTACACACACAGCCTGAAGGTAATTTTATAACTTATGAGAAATAACTTTGTGTGTAAAGCGAAGTTTCATGGTGTGGAATTTTCCACTTGTGGTGTCTTGTCAGTGCGCAAAAGGTTTTGGATTTGGGGACATTTTGGAGTTTGGGTTTCTTGGGTTACAGCTGCTTAATTCTGCAACCTTGTGACATCTCTTCTATTTTGTAATCTAATGCCATCCTGTGTTTATGCTGCCTTCATTTTGGGTTTTAACGTTGGTTGTGCGCGAGCACATACAATTTAATTAAATTTCATGTTCCTGGAAGCAAGGGAAAGAATCCTTCGTTATAGCTTTGAAACAGTGCAGATTGCTATGCACACCAGAGAGTCTTAAATAATTGCAGAAGGAGATGATAGAGACAGGACGGAAGAGGAGAAGGGAGGGAAAAGAGGAAGGGAGGGAGGACATTTTTGTTTCTGAAAACGAAGGGGTTTAGACCAGCTTTTTTTCAATATTTTTTGTCTGTCTATCTGTCTAGATATTGATCTGTCTATCAGCTGCTCTGGGGATTGAACCCAGAGCTTTGTGCATGTCAGGCAAGTGATCTACCACTGAGCTACACCCCAGCCTCAAGGGCCCATTTTTGAACAGGTGCTAAATACATGCTTACTTAATATAGAGAGCTACCCAATCTTGCCAAATGTGTCCTAAAGCTGCAAACCCAGTACTGATTCCCTCTAACTCTCGCCACCTCTCCACATACACAAAGCATCTTTTCAGACTCCATTTCCAAAGTGAAGATTTTATTTAAAAAAAAAAGCATCATTCGTATACAGATTGATCTTCATTTTCCCAAGTCCAGAGTAAGTATCCTCAGCCTTAGGATGGTGCATATTTTACACCAAAGCTGGTCTTGTAATCATTGATTTAGCAGTTGCCGGTCAGATTTCAAATCTGATAAAAAGGACCTTCCAAAATATGAGAGCTGAGTTAGAAATCAATAATTGACCCTAAATATTTTAGATTGAAATGCACGCATGTGTTTTGTAAGAAGAGAGCTCACCAAAGCAGAGGGATGTTTTAGCTCAGCGAAGCAACCCCTTTCTGCTCCAGTCAAAGTTACGTGCAGACTGGTGGAATGAGAGGCTGTAGGTAGGAGCCTCTGCGGTACATATGGTCCGTGACCTTCAGCCAGATTCTCAGGCATCCCGGCACCCAGGAGATAGATGTGTATGTGTGTGTTTGTGTTTGCATGAGTGTATGTGTGTGTGTGTGCACAAGGATGTGTATTTGATAGACTTTGAAAAAATAAACATGTGTACTTGCAGGTAAGTTCATTCTGGTGTGGTCCTGAGATTCCAGCAGAGACTACCTGAGGGCCAAGAAGCCGAGTCAGTGCCCTGTACAGACTATCCACAGTGAAGTTCAGGGCACAGTGCACACAGAAGAAGCAGAAGCCCAGGGCTTCCTTCCTGGCAGATGCAGCCGACCAGCTCCTTCTCCTCTGTCTGGGACAATATCATCACGCACCCACTCAGATAATGCCTCATTTCACCCAGCCATCTAAGGACATATATTCTTCCTCCTCATTGCAAAGATACTACCTGCTCAAAGCTGAAAATTCATTAAGTACTTAAAAGCACACAAAAACAAACCGAATGCAATCACCACCAAAGCAGGCCCCTGTTCGAATTTTGATATTGGTTCTGGAAATGGTTTTGAAATACAGTCAGTCCTTCCTATCTATGGATTCAACAAATGGCAAGGCAAAAATACTTTTGTAAAACACTGCATCTGTACCTACAGGCTCCGGCCCCTCCTTTATCATCATTCCCTAGAAGCTTCACATACTTTACACTACAGTAGGTAGTGGAGGCGAGTGAGAGGTGGTGCAAGTTACATGGATGTGCACAGACCGTGGCTCCACTCCCATGCCATTCTGTATGAGGGAAGTGAGCATCTCCGGGTTGACATCTACAGGGGACACCGGAAGCTATCTTCTGTCGATACCTGTGGCAGCTGACAATGTATAAGTCATTTATGAATTTTATGTGCACTGTTGATGCTGCTTTTTAAAATACGCACACAAACTATCAGAGTGCTTTAGCTTGCTCTGAACTGGGCCTCTGTGTGACTGCTCATTGAGATGAGGGCCGTGCGAGCCTTGAGCGTCTGCACCCAGAGCTCATCACATCACAGGTCGTTAGGGCAGAAGCCAGAAAGCAGAGGGAGCTGGGTGTGCTGCTGGGGCTCTGAAGCGAGGGAGAAGGGCTTCCTGTCCTCGGGTTGTGAAGATGCCTTCTGCACGGCCTTCTGAGAACAGCAGTTTCTATATTTCCCATCGAATCCATCCGCCATTCACGTTGGAGTGGAGCCACCACCCAATCCTGCGCCTTCCCCGGCAGAGTCCCAGGGCTATAGGAAGGTCACTTGTCTGTATGTCAAGCGTACTTTGAAAACGTTTAGATTTGTCTTGACCCTTTCCAGAGAGATCACATTCACTTAAGGAGGTTGTTAGAACTGTTCCATTTTATCCTTAACTCTTGTTGTTCATCTCTAAGAGTGCCTAATGTATACATCAAACTTTATCATAGGTGTTGGTCAAGGAAACAACGTCCTATATATCAGATGCCCTGCTATCTGAGGTCTTAGGAGGCCCTGGGCATTTTGGAACCCATCCTCTATGGTAAGGGGGCTGCCGTATCACTGTCCTGTGACACTGCAAGACATCTGCTAAAGTTTTTTTATGCTCTTCTTCTATAAAGTTGAGTCAGTTGCTCTTGCTATGTATTCTTCCATACAAAATTGAATTTAAACTTACTGAGTTAAAACTGTACCAGGAATTTTAATCACGATTACATTTAATTTGTAGATTAACTTGGGGACCATTCATCTTTCTTTCATATGGTCCCATATGAGTGCTGGAATGTCACTCCACTGAATAATAAAATCTTCTATGGTTTTTAGTAAATTTTAGTAATCTTCTCCATACCTTATTTTTCCAATATAATAAATACGTATTTTCATACATACAGAAAAGTTCTGAAATGTTTATAGTCTATACCTCCACCAAGATTCTACCATTAATACATCACTCTATTTTTACCAGATATTTACCCATCTCTCTGTATGGCAGTCATCTTATTCTGGATGCATTTCAGCATAGTTTGTAGGCATCAGTATGCTTCCCCAGTACCTGAGCACACATATCTTTAAGCAGAGTTCCACAGGGTTTTTTTGTTGTTGTTGTTGCTGGTGCTATTTATATTAACCTCCACATGGACAAAGCTTATCCACAGTGAGAAAAATCATGAAGTTATACAATATGCACTCTTTTGTGGAAAGCATCATCTGTGCGGCATGAGTTTCAGGAGGTTTATCCACGATGCTGCAGGTATCCACAGAAACTCCTTTTTATGGTCAAATGGTACTGCATTGTCTGAATTTTTCAGTTCACTTATTTATTCTCTTACTGGTAGCCCCTTGGGCTAGTTTCAGGTTTTGGCTTTTACAAAGAAAACCATGCATATTCTTGTCCAAGCCTTTTGATGAACATGTGTTTTCATTTCTTTTCAGTGAGTACCTAGAAAGAAATTCAATGGCTAGGATATGGATGTATGTTGAGTTCTATAAAAAATAAGCCACCAGGCCTTTTCTCTAGGTTATATAATTTTGTATTCTCACCCAAAATGATGAGAGTTCCCTTTTCTCTACAGCCTGAGCACATCCATTTCAACATTTAAAAAGATGTAATTGTCCATTCTGGCAGTGGTGTCTCATTATGGCTTTAGTTTTCATTTTATTGAGAAATACCATAAAGGATTAAAAAAACGTTATTGACCAGTTCTGTTTCGCCTGTTGTGAACGGTCTGTGTAAGCTCTTTAGCTTTTTTTTTTTTTAATTGGGTGAGGTACTTGCTCCCCGAATTCTATACAGGTAGCTATTTTCCTTTGGCCCTTTGTGTTGGCGTTATATTTTCTTCTGGCTTCTATTAAGAAGGAGATGTTCCTCTGTCTGTTGTTCTGTTGAACATAATTTGCCTTTTTCTCTACATGGTTTAAAGAGTTTTCTTTTGATCCTTGGTTTTCTGAACTGTGACTGTGATAGATGTTTGTATTGATTCTGGAGATTTTCTTAGAACTTCTTGAATCTGTGGCTTGATTTTTTTGGGGGGCGGATTGTGTTAGCCATTATTTTTCTACATAATCTCTCTGCCCTCATTGAAAACTAAAATTCTGATTTGATTTCTTCCTGATGTTCTGTCTGGTGCAGACAGAGTTTAAGGCTGCACCTTGGTATCTGTGGATGTCTGAGTGCTCTGTCTTGTCTGTTGTTTTACTTCCCAGATACCCATTTCTCTTTTGAAGTTTTTAAAAATCTCTGTTCTGTCAAATATTAAGATTTCTTTCACCTCGAATTTACCTACTTTAACCTCTTCCACCCTCTCTCTGCGTCTTTTGTTTGTCTGTTTTAAGCATTCTATTATAGACAATGTATTGCTAACTTCTGTTTCTGTTAAATCCAGTTTGAATGCTTCCATTTTTTAATGTGCAAGTTTAACCCATTTACATTTATTAATTACTCTTCTATTAGGAATGGTTTTTGCCATTCTGTTTCAGGTTCATTTACATGTACTCTATCGCTTCTTGGCCTTTGGCTGAGATCAAGTGTATATGTACTCTATTTTGTTTTTCTTTCTCTCTCCTTTCATATTGTTCTTTAGAATGAATTTTCTTCTGCAGGTTTGAAAGTGAATCAACCATATTTTTGTCTCTTTGTGGTTGGTTCTTAGTCTAGAATTAATTATTCTTGAAAATTTACTCCTTTTGATTTAAAAAAATTCAAAAATATCTTTATCTTTTCATGAACTAGTAAGTTTTTTTTCTTTTTTAATTTAATTAATTAATTACTTTTTAAGTTACATACTTTTGGGACCCTCGCTGTCAATTATTATGGCTTAGAATTTTAGCTGGGGTTATAATGTATATTCTGTGTTTCCCCATTTTTTATTTCTCTTTTATTTTTTGTTTATTCATTTCTG